GAACCACTGATGTGAGCACAAACCACTTTGGAAAACAGGGAGCACATACTGAAGTCTTAACCAGAGTTTCTTGTAGCCTTCTGGTAACCTGAGCTTATTCTTCCTACATAGCCAGTCTCAAACCCAGTGGCCTCTATGGGTCTCACTGAGACCAAGTAAAAATGGCCAGTGTTACCGCTAGCAATAAACAGTAATGATAATGTGTAACCCATGGCTACACAAAAAGTCACTTCTTTTCATTGTTTTGATCAAGGCTCTGCATTATGCAGCTGTTTCAGCAAAAAAAAAAAAAAAAAAAAAAAGAAAAAGAAAAAGAAAACTCATGCCCGACTCCAGAGTCTTTGGGATTAACCCTCACAGCACACATAATGACATCGAAGTCCACTGACTTTCTTGTTAGGCAAAGATTTGCTTGGAAAGTCCTTTATCCTGAAGTGTAAGCTGCCTATAGAGTGAGTTGGTGTGATGTCAACAACAGCCTTCTCTTCCCACAGTTGCTTTCTGCTGCCTGGGCAAAAAAAAAAAAAAGTCAGCAAACACATAGCAGTTATCTCACCACAGCACCCCTGTGTCTCTTTGTGCACTAATTAGGTTACAAGATTATTTCTATATTAACACCGAGTCTTCACATTGACCCTTGGGATGAGCTTGGGGTTGTTATGAGCACCATGGGACTTATTCTAACCAACTTTTTGTTGCTTCTCTTTTTCCCTCCTGTTGTCACCAGTAGGTAATGAGGAATGGTTTTCTTTGTCAGTAAAGTCTATAAGGACACCTTTTGCCACCCCCTTTCTGCTTTTCAGTATGTGCCTCCCCGAGGAATTGGAAATTCCCAGTGTCCTGCCTTAACACCCACAGCAAATCTTCTTTATCTCTGGTCGTGGTTTTCTCAACCGCAAAACGATTCTAAAGGAGGTTTCTAGCTCTCAAAACCTATGATTCTGTAAAAGACTAAAAAAAATCTGTCTCACCTCCTCGCTTGTGGCATATGGAGAGGAATAGAGTTAGCATTTGAACTTAAAATGTTGAGAGGATGATTACACACAACCAGAGCCTCAGGAACCTGTGTTTAAGTCCTCACCCTCCATTTTTTGCTTTGCCAGCATAGCAAAGAGGATACTGGAGAGCCAGTCGTTTCTGTCCTGTCCTTACCCTCCCTCACCCTCAGCCCTCATGCATCAAGAGCACCACCAAATGGTCCCTATTCTTCAGTGACATCAAAACCTATGTAATGGTATTCTCTACTGTAAAAATTATTTTTGAAAGAGGGTATATTAGAACATACTTGTGTTTTTATATAGCTTTAAAATATATTCCCTAGAGAGAGAATATACTTGATTTTACACACACACACACACACACACACACACACACACACACCCCAAATGGAAATACCTAACTTGAGGTGAAAGGATAGTTTCACACAATTGTCTGCTGGTTGTTTGTCGAGGTTTCTAGAAACAGCTAATGATAGCATTATTCATGGTGGCCAGGACATGGAAACAACCGAAGTGTCCTATGATAGATGGCTGGCTAAAGAAGCTGTGGTACATATATACAATGGTATATGATTCAGCCACAAGGAGAGATGAAATACTGCCATTTGCGACAACATGGATGGACCTCGAGATAATCATGCTAAGTGAAATAAGCCAGACAGAAAACGTTGGAAACCACATGATATCACGTATATGTGGGATATAGGCCTAAAAGCAACAAATGAAAAGGACAAACAGAGTCTCATGGACATGGACTATAGACTAGTGGTTACCAGAAGGAAGGGGGTGGGGGGAGTGGGGAGGTAGATGGGGTAAAGGGGGTCAAATATGTGGTGACAGAAAGAAATATAACTATGATAGGGGAACACACAATACCATATATATGTGCCTTACTGTTGAATTGTACACCTGAAACTTACTGGATTTCGTTAACCAGTGCCACTAAATAAATAAATAGATAGATAGATAGATAAATTTTTTTCTTAAAAAAGAAAAAAACAGCTAATCATTATATTTAATGTTTCATCAAAAAATCTCGATATATTCTTTAAGATGCTCCTTTTGAACAGTTCAGTGTATGACTGTTGTGTGGCAATTAAATTGTCCCTATTGATTTTTTTCCCACCTCTTTCAAGTCCATAATACCAGCTGTGCATACCTAAATAGACATCTTTTAAAAATTGTTCCATGAAAGTGGAATTCCATTTGACATGTTTGTTTCGGGAAGTGTGTGCTTCAGTCTTCTGTGATGGATCGTGCTTGTGTTAAATCACATCTGGTTTTAGCAGAGTACTCTGCTCAGTATTTCTCTCCTAACTATGTCATCTTTTGCTCCTGCTATTTGAGAGCAATTGCTCTGCTTCCTCTGGAGCTATTTATACTCCAAATTTTCTATTCTGTGTGTTACCCATTCACCTGTACAGAGATAAGAGTAGACCCGCCCAAAAAAAAAAATTTCATGCAATTTTGCCGTCTCTTTGTTTGTTTCCATCACACAGGTAAATTAGACTCAATACAAAAGTGAGTCTAAAAATTCTAACTTGTTAGTTCTTATGTCCTTCGATGTAAAACAAAAATATTTATAATGATGGAGGCAGAGTAACAAGAAAAAATAATGGAAAAACTTCAAACCTCCCACAGTCGCCTTCAGTATCAAAGAAACATGTTGGGAATATTGGTATTTAAAAGAAATCCATTCCTTTCTTCCGTTAATGGAAATAGTGTGCTGCATTAACAAATATTCTCAGTACCTGCACCTGAAAATGTGTCCTTAGAGGAAGTCAAGTACACAGAAGAGAAAAATCAAAGTTCGAATCTTTTGTCTCTGTACCTCTCCCCAGTCTCCCATGCAGTCCCCACTTGGCCTTTCCCTCCTTGCGTCCTCCTGCCTGCTTGGG